TGCCAAATGCTCTAGGTACGCCCCTGCTTCAGATGACTATTTACTGGAAAAAAACAAACCATGTGATCAACTGATAGTAGCTGGATATGTATGTGTCTAAAGTTTGTATTGGATGGAGACCATTTTTGTTTTGTTTAAGGGAAACTGTTGTTTTGTGCCTTTAACCCTATTGCAGTGTACAGTAGAGTAGTTTTATGTTTTACTATTTTTATACATTTTTGTACCATTTTAAGTGTTTGTGTAGTGTATTTGCTTTCTTATCATTTACTCCTCATGTTGTTTATTTGAAGTAATGAAAACTGCTTATCGAATGCTCTGTGTTCCAGGTTAGAATTATTCAGTTCATATGCAGAAACAGACATGCTCATTGCTTATGATTATGGCTACATTATTAATTTGAAACACTTATAAAACAATTTAAAAAAATGTGTCCTGAAGGGCTCTAAAGTTTTTAATAGTGCAATACAGCCATGCCCAGAATTATATATTGTGTGCCAATTGGCACAGCCTTCTCAGGTGCCCCTAGTAGCCCCAATTTCCAGTTTCTTGGCTGCTTAATGATTTGATGAACACTCAGGAGTAAGAGGATACATCTTTCACGAACTCCCTCTGCAAATAAATAAAAATGCTATTATCAAGCATTTAAAGAAAAAGTCCTGAATAGATGCCTACAGTTAATGACCTCCATGAGGAAAATGGCATGGTATTACTTCCTCAGGAAAGCATCTAAATACAAATGATATATAATCACCATAAATAGCAGAAGCAAGTGATAACAGAATATATGGATTCCTTATAACGTTGAAATGGCACAGATTGAACTGTCAGGTTAATAGTAACAAAATGGTTCTTAAACGGTGAGTTGCGTTTTCTCCTATTGAATAAATTGATGTTTCCTTCCCACCTAAAATGTCTAAAGTTCAATTTAGTTAATTCTACTTCTGAAATAAAACAACATTATTTTACATTAGCAGTATTATGGTAACCCCTGTTGATATGTTGGTCAGGTTAGGATAGAAAGCAAAACATAGAGCACTTTTTTCCCCCTAAACCGGTCCTGTATGTTCATAATAGCCTCATCCATACATTGTGAAATCTAATTTTACCATGGTGCTTACGGCTGTGTTTACAATTCCAATTCCACCTGGCTGCATAATAACCACCTGTGACACTACTAAAGGAATGTCTGAGGGTGGAACCGCCCATGTGGCATGTGTGAGAACCCCAGAACATCATAGAATCACAAGACAATGGTGTCACCCTGAACACAGAATCAAATGCAAAATATTGTCAAATTCTTATTTCTAGCAAGAGTGCTGGATCAATTTTTGATCATAAAAAAGTAGTTTGTGTGCTAGAATATAGATTCAAAGGGTCACATGCACCTTTTCAAAGGTACAGGAGTCAATACGTGTGCTCTGCTCATAAAAACTATACGGGTTAGTCAGTAAAGTAAGAATTCAAGGTGAATTAGGAATTTAAGGTCAAAATAGCCAAAAATGAAAAACATTTTTCAAAAATTACAAATTTCTCTAAATCAGCCATGCTTTCCATTCAGCTATTGTGGCCTTAAAGCGGCACTGTCACCGTCTCGGGACTTTGCAGAATTCACAAAGATCCATGACGGTAACATTGCCGCTGGGGTTCTGGTGGCTGGGGGTGGTAAAGGTGAGATTTTTTTACTTGGACCTGTCCCTCGGGGGTGCTGCCGCCATTTTAGTAAAGACTCTATATTTATGAAATACAAATTTTTTTTTGGAGGGGGAGAGGGGGGTTAGGGCTTTAAATTTGAAAATCACTTTAAATTCTTCTTTAGTAAATAGCACATTTTGCAGATTAACCAGTGACACTGTTATTTTTATATAAAAAGCACAATATAACATGCTGAGTGGAAAAGTACCTATTAAACATTGACCTAAATGTAACAACAAATAAGTATAGTTTCTCTTGAAGGAATAATCTGTGATTAGGTATGGTTGGACTGTTTTGGTAAACTACAATAACATTGCTGTATTTTGCAATCTGTGTGATGTGTATTTCTTAATGGTCTGAATAGAAACACATGTACTGTGATAAAATATAAAAGTTCCATGGAAAATAGAAGATGGTTAGCACAAACGTTGCTATTGCAACTAGGCCATGTCAGTCAAAAGGGGCGCCCCCTTGCAGAATCGTTATTTAGTATATTCTAGAAAAACAAATACCACAAGGTGTACTTTAAGCGCTCCTTCATGGTTCCTACGCTCAGTGAACGAGTCAGAGCGCAATGCTCTGCTTCTTTGCCTGAACACTGGGCTGGAAGAGTGTTTATGTGGTCTACATCCGGACCACAAGGGATGAGGTGAGCAGGAGCACGGGACCTCCAGGGATCATACTCTTACTGGTCCACCAAGTATTATATCTCCCTATGTACAATAAGGTAAGCAGAAGGCGGGGAGGGGGGAATACTTTTTTTTTTTTTTTTTATGATAACATTACACAAACAACCTCCACACTCTGCCATCTCCGTTAAGCTCACCCTCAGCTAGCTCTCACACACTTTAACATACAGCCAATCCCACACACAAAATCACACTCATTCAGACCTTAAACACAATCACACTTAGATATTCCTCCACGCAATCTCACTCAGCCACTCCTCACACTCACATATATTTAACTAGCCCCGCACACAATAACGCTCAGCTAACTCCACACATACAGACAGCTGCAATCAAAATTATTTAACCCCCATTGAAAATCAGGTTTATTTTAACTATTTACAGACCTTCAGCTGTTTGCATTGAACAAATCAAACAAAAGCAATTGAAATTGCTCAACTCAACAAATACTGTTGATGCAACTAAAAAAGGGGCTTCATTAGTTGCACCAGGTGTGCTAGAGTTGGAACACTTGAAATACCTGAACTGGCTCGAGGTTTGTTGAGTATCACATTTGACTTCATGTTAGAAATCTAGCTAAATCAAAAGAATGCTCCACAAAGTTAAAGGAACACTATAGGCACCCAGACCACTTCAACTCATTAAGCGGTCTGGGTGCACTGTCCCAGGTCCCTTAACCCTGCAAAGGTAATTATTGCAGTTTTTAAGAAACTTGATGAGTTACCTCCACCTATAGTGGCTGTTTAACAGACAGCCGCTGGGGGATTTCCAGATTGTTAGGCGACTTTTGGTTGTACTAAACATAGAAGGTTTCCATGCCAGACGTACATCACTACTGACCCAAAAGCACAAGAAAAGTCAGCACCAATATGCTCAAAATCATAGAAATAAGCAACATACGTTTTGGGATTATTTCTGTGGTGTGATGAAACAAAACTGGAACTTTTCGGTCTAATGGATCAGCAGTATGTTTGGAGGAAGAAAAATGAAGCATACGCTGAAAAGAACAGTCTGCCTACAGTTAAGCATGATGGGGACTCAATGCTCTGGGGGTGCTTGGCCTCATCTGGCACTGGAAACCTGCAGCATGTGGAAGGCAAGATGGATTCATTGAAATATCAGGAAATCCTTGGAGAAAACGTCAGGTCGTTTGTGAGGAAGCTGAAGCTTGGGCGCTATTGGACTTTCCAACAAGACAATGATCCCAAGCATACCTCAAATTCCACCATGGCTTGGTTACAGAAGAAGTCCTTGAAAATTCTACAGTGGCCATCACAGTCACCTTGTGGGATTTGAAGAAGGCAGTTGCAACACCCAAACCCAAGAATATTACTGAACTGGAGGCCATTGCTCATGAGCAATGGGCTAAGATTAGTGAGGAACGCTGCCAGAAGCTGGTGTCTAGTTATGCATCTCGTTTGCAGCAGGTCATAACATTGTTTTTTTTAATGGGGGTTGAATAATCTTGATCACACTAAGCAACCACACACATTCTACTCAGATGTATTGCTTCTAGGGGAGCATTGGGGCCTATTACACCCCTGACAGAGATCCTTAATTCTTGGATCAGGAGCAGAAATAGGCCACAATTTTATTTAGTGGGTCTCGACTGGTAGGATGAGTAATATGATATGCATAATCAAGGAATGGGTCATCATATTAATGTCTGTTGTATAATCTGGTACCCTGACAAGGTAAGTATCATTGGGTTTGCAGATCACATGAGGTAATCAGATTACATGGTTTTTCCTATTAAAAAGTTGAAGATAAGTATGTGACTGCAAAATTAGCAAAATTACTGATAGGTACATTGTGCTATTTGCTGTTTACAGACTTGGAGTTATTTCTACTGAGTTATTTCTACAGAAATTAGCAGCAACTAGACTTAAAGGGACACTATAGTCACCAGAACATCTAAAATGTAATGTAGTGGTTCTGGTGTCTATATTCTGTCCCTGCAGAATGAGCAATGTAAACACTGCCTTTTCTGAGAAAAGTCAGTGTTTTCATTACTGCCTAGGAACACCTCTAGTGTCAACAATGTTCTTTGTGTCAGTTCTATTCTCAGAAATAAAAACTATCTATCTAGTTAGATTCACACTCTGTGTTAGTTAATTATCCCCTTCCTCCTCATTGGAATACATCACAATCTGTGTATATCCAATTAAATAGTCATGACCAGACTAACTCTTCTCTAATAGTCTGTGAATAGAGGGTGAACAGATGGAAAGGAATGCATCTATAAAGACAATTATAAAAAGAGAGAAAGGTAGAGCTGTGGAGAGACACATAAGCTCGGTCGTTGCGCGAGAAATAGCCGGCTTCTAAACTAGCACACTGGTTAAAATCTTCACCAGAATGTCTACTATATTGCCTTGTGCTTCACACTAACTCAATCACATATTTTCTGTCAATATTAGCTGACGTGTTTCTCTAATGGTCAGTTAGATAGTCAAGCAATCTAAATACCTTGTTTTGGTTATATTTTTCTTTTCTTTTTTTTAATTGGAAAAAAAAACCATAACCTAAAACCAAAAGTTATAGTTTAACTTCATATGAACCTGCCACTCACATTTAGTATTATACAATATTTTCATTGATTCCCCACTCTCTTTGCAATCTGAAGAGCAGTTTTATGATCATATGTTCTGGGGAGGTTTATCACAATGATGTGTTAATTTTGTCTTTTACACTAATACATTTGGTCTTCTGTCTAATATTCTGTAGCTTCAAGAAGAAGCATTACATTAAACTGCACTAGTCCCTCCCATTCACCTTACACATAAAATAATAAAGTCATGTCTGTTATTTATTTCTGCCTTTATCTTTCAGGAATTATTATAAAAATTGGAAATTCGCAGCCTCCAACAATGTATATAATATCTACTTAATCTTTTGCTCCCAGTTGTATGTAATAGATAAACACCCCAATTTTGGGTCAGTCTAATTTTTTAACTGTTATTTTAATTTAGAATTTTGTTCCATCCTCTGCCCTTTTTCAATATGGACATTGGAGTGTATCATGTGACACATGTAGTCATATGATCACATTGATCATTGCCCAATGAGAATTTCTTATGGGGTTTAAATCCAAGTCATGTCATACATGATTAAGGCTTTCTTTGGCCAAAACTCTTTGTCACTATATTGCTATTTTCACTATAACAACGTTACCATTTTTACCTGTTGCTTACCACTGTAATTCACTTGTTATTTTCAACAGAATGTCATTTTCACTAAGCCACATGCAGATTTAGTTGTTAATTAGCTACTAGTTTTTGCACATATTTACAAAACATAAAGTTTTGTTATATTTACGTGTCACTTAGAATTGTTTAAAATTTTTTATTATATATATCATTAATATTTTTAACATTATTTTAAATTTGTTTTATTTATGTGTTAAAAATAAATGCAGAAATCAGACCTGTTATCTTGAATCTGGGTACCACAGTGTTGCTTCGGGTCAATCATTATTATAAGCTTTGTCCTTTTCCCCCAGCAGTCAGAGGAAACATACAGAAAAAAAACAAAATTAAATTTTTAAAAAACTTTTTGGCTCTTCATATGCAATGTTTGCTCTTTCTGTGCCTGGACTTGACCATCCTCTGATGTAATTTGCTAGCAACTATTACACTGAACTAAGTCTGCCATTCCAATGAGGAGAATAATTTAAATCAAACAAATCTTAACTTTTTATTTATCCTCCTGAATACTGAATAATATAAATGCAAAGGAAAGCATCATATGAAAAAAATGTTTTTATATGTTATAGGTGAATGTTTTATTTAATTGTCTAAATTCCATGGATGTGACAATCCCTTTTAAATTACTGTTAGGAAGGGTTGCTTCTAAGTGTGTAGTTGGAGATATTCTGGAGAGTTTTACAGAAGCTTCAACTGTCTAAGAGTTGTGCTAAGAGCTTTCTTTTCTACTGTTACAGGTAAGATTCATCTGTAGGAAAAGGTTACTGATTGCACAAGGTTTGAATTCCTGTTGGTAATTATAAGGCATTTGATTTGATTAGTCAGTTACTTGCTATTGATTGCTGTTTAAATTAGCTATTGTTTGCAAATAAGCAGAGGCCTACCCAGGTGTTAAACATTCCTAGTGGGTGGTGATTTTAGGAGTTATATAAGGGTTGTTGTCATTAGCTTGGCTAATATAGCTTGGTTGCTTCATCTAAGTGTTGCTTTTAAGTGTGTAGTTGGAGATATTCTGGAGAGTGTAGCTTCTAAGTGTGTAGTTGGAGATATTCTGGAGAGTGCTGTTTCTAAGTGTGTAGTTGGAGATATTCTGGAGAGTGTTGCTTCTAAGTGTGTAGTTGGAGATATTCTTGAGATAACCTGGAAGTAATCTGAGGTATTCAGGAGGATAAATAAAAAGTTAAGATTTGTTTGATTTAAATTATTCTCCTAATTGGAATGGCAGACTTAGTTCAGTGTAACAATTGCTATGCATTTGTTTCACACTCCACTTTTTGGAGGTTTGGTTGTTGTCTAATCTGTAGACAGTTCTCTATCTTGCGGCAGGAGATTGTATTTTTGAAGTCTGAGATTTGTAAATTATCTGGTGAACAAACTCAGACTGGAACTGCTGCAAAGCCACTGCGACATGCTAGTAATGGCAGATGGATTACTGTAGGATCTGGTAGACTTAAGAGTTGTGGATAAAAGGCATTTTGCACAGTCTGTTGCTCTACATAATTCATTTTCTGCACTTTCAGAGTGTAATGGTGTTGTGGAGAGAGGCACTGAGGATAGTGGTGTTGTGGAGAGAGGCACTGAGGCTAGTGGTGTTGTGGAGATAGGCACTGAGGCTAGTGGTTTTGTGGAGAGAGGCACTGAGGCTAGTGGTTTTGTGGAGAGAGGCACTGAAGCTAGTGGTGTTGTGGAGAGATGCACTGAGGCTAGTGGTGATGTGGAGACCAGCTTGGAGACTATGGTGAGGCCTAATAGAAAGCAGTTGTTGTGGGGGATTCCATCATAAGAGGTGTGGAGATGGACAATGGTGGTCTTGTGAGGTGTCTTCCCGGAGCTACTGCTCACAGAGACAGGAGACGTATCTGTAATATTGTTAAGCAAGCAAAGCAGGAAGGGGAATTGGATGTACTTGTCCATCTAGGGACAAATGATTTGGCTTGCAATGAGGTTTCAGAGGTTAAGGAAGTTTTTAGTGTTTTTGCCAATGATATACGGCAGGTTGCTTCCACACTGTCATTCTCTGAAGTTCTGCCTGTGCATAACACTCAGAACGACAGGCGGATGCGTATTAGGGACTTTAATTTGTGGCTTGGTGAATGGTGTCGGGAGCAAGGATTTGGCTTTATTTCTCATGGTAGCTCTGTTTGGAATGGAATAAGCTGTACAAAAAAGATGGTTTGCATCTTTCTCAAAAGGGAACAAATGTTCTCAGTGAGCAGTTCAGAGGTTTTGCTAGGATGTATTTAAACTAGGAGGGGGGGGCAAAAGGGTGATAAAACATCAATCCAATTGTCCCCCAAAACAAGGACAGAAGGTGCCTGTAGCAAGTGTGTTAAAAAATGATAAGCTTAGAGTCATGTCTACAAATGCTCGCAGTTTAGGGAATAAGATCCATGAACTCGTGGCAATAATGGCAACTGATAGTGTAGATTTAGTCGTTGTTACTGAGACACGGTATAATAGAAAAATGACTGGGACATAGCAATATTGTACTCTTTATATAGAAAAGATAGGTAAGGCAAGAAAGGGGGAGGGGTGGCCCTGTATGTGAAGAATAGCATAAAATCTAGCCTAAAAATCTAGCCTAATAAAAGTTAGTGAGGCAAACATAGAGTCCATTTGGGTTACGTTAGAATTTGGTAATCACACAGTAACTCGTGTAGGTGTGATTTATAGGCCCCCAGGACAAATTGAAGAGTTAGATAATCTACTAGTTGAGGAAATAGCTAAAATGACAATGAAGGGGGAAGTTATCATCATGGGTGATTTTAATCTTCCTGATGTAAATTGGAAAACAAAATTAGCTACTTGTGCCAGGAGCACACATATTCTAAACTCCCTACTTGGATTGTCTCTAAAACAAGTTGTTGAGGAGCCAACTCGTAAAGAGGCCATACTAGATTTAGTGTTAACAAATGGAGATTTAGTATCAGATATTAATGTAGGTGAAAGTTTAGGATCCGGTGATCATCAGTCAGTGTGGTTTAATATAAGAACAGTGACTGAGTCACACCACACAAAAACCAAAGTTTTAGACTTTAGAAAAACAGACTTTACTAAAATTAGAATATGTGTAGAGGAGTCATTATCAGACTGGAGCAATTTAAATGGTATTATGGGATTATTTAAAAGTTGCACTATTGAAGGCAACAGAAAATTGCATTAGGCTTGTCAGTAAAAGCAAAAAATTCAAGAAACCACTGTGGTACTCCGCAGATGTGGCCAAAATAGTTCAAAACAAAAAGTTAGCATTTAGGAATTATAAAAAAAAACAGAGTGAGGAAGAAAAAATGATCTATAAGATTAGGCAGAAAGAGGCTAAGCAAGTTATAAGAGCTTCCAAATCACATACAGAAGAGAAAATAGCACAGTCAGTCAGGGGGACAAAACATTTTTTAGATACATAAATGAGAAAAGAAAAGTAAAACAAGGATTAGTTAGATTAAAAACAAAAGAAGGAAGGTATGTAGAAGAGGATAAAGGTCTAGCTGACTGCCTCAATGAATATTTTTGTTCTGTATTTACAGATGAAAATGAAGGAAAGGGACCTCAGTTGAGAAAAAGGATAAATGAGTCATTTATTACACGTGAGTTTACAGAGGAAGAGGTTCTATTTCAACTGTCAAAAGTAAAGACAAATAAGTCAATGGGACCTGATGGAATACACCCAAAGCTATTAAAAGAGCTTAGTGGTGTACTACCAAAGCCATTAACAGATTTATTTAACCAATCATTGTTAACAGTAGTCCCAGAAGATTGGAAGTTAGCGAATGTTGTGCCCATTTACAAGAAAGGTAATAGGGAGGAGTCGGGCAACTATAGGCCAGTAAGCCTTACTTCAGTAGTGGGGAAAGTGATGGAAACCATGTGAAAGGATAGGATTGTTGAACATCTAAAAACACATGGATTTCAAGATCAGAGACAACATGGGTTTACTTCAGGGAGATCATGCCAAACTAATCTTATTGATTTTTTTGGTTGGGTAACTAAAATTATAAATCAGGGTGGTGCAGTGGACATTGCTTACCTAG